TTTTATGAAGCATATTTATGTGATTATTTTGAAAAATTTATATAAATTTTACTAATTTTAAAATATTTTAGATACACATCTAAAACTATGCACTGTTTATTTCATTTTAATATTTTTCAAAAATATAAATATTATTTTAATTTAAAAAGTTTGCAAGTGGACAATCGGTCATTTTAAACAACCATAATTTTTTTCAACTCAAAAGCTTATATACTCATTAATTAATTTACTCAAAAGCTCATATACCTATTATTGATTTAAAAACTTTGCAAGTGGACCAATCGATTACTTATTTCAACTCAAAAACTTTTATATTCATTATTTTTTTTAACTTTTCGATGTGGAATAATTTGTAAAACTTCTCTTCAAGTGGATAATCGGTCATTTTGAATCTAATCGGTTGGCCACTTGTAAATGGAATCTCCCTTCATATTAAATGAAAGGGCCAATACTTAAAGATTAGAATTGCTGGATATAGCCTTCCAGCCGAACAATCAGGTTAAATGTGTCATAGGCTGTTTTTCATGCGGACAAATAGGCTAATGACAAAGATGCCGCTAGGAATGAATTTTTATACATACACCTAAACAAATAAGATGAACCAAAATCGACTCTGATATTATGATAAAATTTATGATGAGATAAAGATCACTAGACTCGGCCATAAAACACTTACGCTGAATTACTTAAAGGATTGAATCCAATTGATTAGTTAATTCAACTCAAAAACTTATAAATCCATTAATTTCTTCTCACTTTTCTGATTTGGGTACTTTGTACTATTTTTCTGATTTGGGTACTCTGAAACACCTGTGTAACACTTTCTAACTTTCCATATCATGTTGTTATTGTATTTACTTTACCTACTTTAGTTTGTCTTTATAGTTTTCACTTTAATTAGGAATCCATATGTATTTGTGATAAGAACCTTCGTTATTTAATATAATACGACTAGCTATTATCAAATTGTATCACTCTTTAATATAAAATTCAAAAATGTAAAATTTACATACCACTATACTGGTATTGTTTGGAAAAACGTAAACGCTATTTTGAGAGAATATATAACTATGTTGAAATATATTAAAACATCAACAGTGGAAATCGATTAATATACTAAGTTGCGTTCGTTTCATTTGAACTTATTGAATCTGATCTAAATTTTGTAAAAATGATCTTACCTTGTCTGTATAGATCTGATCCAATTATAGTATAATTTAAAATTAATGAGGACCATATTTAATCTAAATGGATCAGATCTGAACTGATCTAATTCTAATAAGAATAAGTAATAGTAAAAAATATAACTTAAAATAAAGAACATCACCTTAAGATAGATGCACATGGCTATATTATGATTGATCGATCACGTTGACTCCTTGAGAGATTGTGGTTAAGTGATTACTGATTAGAGGGTTGAATATTCTCGAATACTTAAGTACTCCGTATTCCAAAATTACTTAGAAAATTTGAAATAAAAAATTTATTTTAACCTTTCTGATCTTTACCTAAACTGTCGCATCATATACATTCAATTCTTCTTTTACATATCACATCAATTGTAAAATTGAAAAGTTAACAATAAATTATACACTATTTAATTTGTTAAACGAAAAAATGGATATTTTTTCGAAACAAAGGGAGTATAATAAAAATATGATATTTTAAAACTACATTTCAAAATGGTGAACTTTTATACTCCCTCCGTCCATTTTGAACATTACTAGTTTGACTTTCAAGGTCAACATTTTAAAATTTTGACTATAGATTCCAGACAAAAGACATTGAATAACGATATAAATTTAACATCAATAAATTAATTTCTTTGAAACTTAGTTTTAAAATATTACAATTTTATAAGATATATCCATCTTTGAATAAAGATATCGATGATCAAAATGTTACATTGATGAATGACGATCGTGAGAAATTAATTGGGAAAATTCAAAAGGGACAGAGGGAGCTTTTTTTGAAACTTGATATTTTTGTGTAATATAAATAATACGTGTGAGTTGGAACAAGAAGTAGCCAAATAACCCGAGTGCTCCATGAGGTTTAAGTCTCTGTGGTTCAAAAACGTTGTACGTACCCACACCCATATGATCATTTTTCAACAAAGATGGAGCATTGGTACCTATTTTCTAAACTATAGGGCCACTATACTCATTTCTTACATTTCCTCTATTCTACTCCCTCCGTTCTCAAAAACACTTCCTCTTTCATTTTTTTCACTTCCAACAAAACACTTCCTCTTTCTATTAAAAAACCACTTTTACCCTTACTTTTTCATACCCTACATATCACATCATATTTTTTCTCTAATAATAAATCCATCACATCTTACTTTTACCCATCACATCAGGGGCAAAATTGGAAGTCAACTATAATTTTACACTTCCTTATTTTGCCTTATAGTCAAAGTGGGAAGGGTTTTTCCAAACGGAGGTCGGAGGGAGTATGTTTTTTTTTTTTCATTTTTTAAACTCTTTTTCATCTCTTTGTTTCCTTTTTCTATAAAAGTTTTTTAAAGTTTCTTTTCAATTTTTTAATGTTTTTAAAAATTCAAAATTGTTTATGTTCCAAAACATAAAAAAATAAAAAAATACTCCATCTATCTCAAATTAAACATTTCCAATTATTATTTTCTAAAATAATTTTGTTGGTAAGTTCAAAAAGAAAAATTAGAATAAAAATATGAAAAAATGAAATGATTAAAATTGAAACATTTAAAAGAGAGTCTCATACAAAAAGGAATTTTCAAAACACCTAAAAAAGTTCTTATAATTGGGATGTTCAAAAAGGATATTCATTGTTATTTTTGTTTTACTTTATTTCTTAGTTTATTCCTCATTTTTTCTGAAGTTCTAAAAAAATTACTCTCTACTTTTTTATTTCGGGAAAAAAATTTGGTAATTTGAGATGAAGATATGCATTATTTGTTAATTATTTTGTTTTCAAACAAAAATGATTTTAAACTTTAAGAACATTATACAAAAAATTTTAAAATAAATTTTAAAAAGTATTGTTTAATAAAAGAAACAAATAAAGGAAAAAAAAGAGAAAACAAAAAATAAAAGAAAAATAAGAAATGAGCATCAGTACCTTCTATGGTTTGAGAAAATGACTCTAGTGCACCCATTTTTTGCCTGGAAAATGGCCAGAAAATGATTAGATGGGGTATAAGTGCAGTGATTTAATATTATGATGTAACACACTGAAAATAAGTCTATCAAAATTAAATAATTAATAATTAATTAATTATTGAGATGTACCTGAAAATTAGATATCATACTTTTAAAATATGTAGTGATATAAAAATAAAAATTTTAATAATTAAATTAGTACAGCATAGGGAGTAGGGGTGGACACAGCACGGTTCCGGGACGGTTCCGGTTCCGGAACCGCCGGTTCCGGTTCCGGAACCGCCGGTTCCGGTACCGCCACCCCTTGGTACTGGTACCGGTACCGGACCGGCGGTTCCGGTACCGGACTGGCTGGTTTCGGCCACCCCCAATTTTCTTTTTTTTTGCTTTTTAAATAAATTTTTAAAGTGTAAAATTGTAAACGTGCAATTGTTAAAGGAAAGAATGAAATAAAAAAATCTAAAAATGAAATTGATAAAGGAAAGAATAAAATAAAAAAATAAAAATAAAAAAAATTAATGACGGTACCGGAATCGGAATCGGAACCGCCGGTGCCGGTACCGAAAAATGGTTACCGGAACCAGTACCGGAAGGGGCGGTACCGGTACCGGTTCCCAGAACCAGTAGAACGTCCCGGCCGGCGGTGACAGTGGCGGGTACCGGCGGTACCGTTGCCGGTCATGATACCGTACCGGTACCGTGTCCACCCCTAATAGGGAGTATTAAAGATGGTGAAAGATGAAAGAAAAAGAAAGGAAAAATATGAGAGACAGAGAGAGGAATAACATAACATAGCGTCATGTGGGTGGTGCACCGCGTTACAGGTCACACAACCTATAGGCTACAAGAAGCTAGTGTTTTTATTTTCTAAATATGATCATGATTGGGAATGTAATTACGGAGTATATTTTAATTTTTATCTCATTTTAATTTTTATTTTAAAAATAAAAATATAAAATTTATATTTTAGTATACTAAATGTTTTAATCATACTTAATTTTTTTCGTTTAAACACTTAGGGAACAGAATTACATTTGTTAAGCACGCGATTATTTGGTGAACATGGCCCAAGAAAACAACAAAAATTGCCAATTCAAATTCTAAATAAAGCAAATGATTGTTGAGACATGTTACAACACCACCAACAATGACACCAAAATTTGACATTTTTAGTGTTTCGATAATAAATTTTTACTAACATTTTAGCTTTTGTTCTTCAATATTTAATTTTGGTTTAAATAACAAACGAAATGTTATAAAAGTATCTCTCCGTCCCAATCTAAGTTAAATATTTTCAACTCAAATGGTCAAAGATTTATTCATTTTTTTCTATCTTCGTTACTCATTTGAAGAAATAATATATTAACTTAAATTGTTGTTAAGTCAAAAGTCAAATTAAGTTGGGACAAATGAAATACTTCGTATTACTCCCTCCGTCCCAAATTATTTGCAACGTTTGCTTTTTCAGCAGTCGCGGGAACTTTTGTTTATTTCTATGTTTTCATTAGTTATTTGATAAAATAAAATATTCTTGACACCTCTTATTTCGAAGAACTTTTCATATAGTTTTTTGATATGTAAATTTTATTTTTTATTTCTATACCAATATGTAAATAAAATGGATTAAAAAAAACTTGATATTTTGTCTCGGGAATACAAATGTGGCAAATATTTAGTATAATTCACCCTAAATAGGACTAAAACATAGAGAAAAGTACTAAGATAGGACTTTCATGTTTTTTTTTTCCGAAATAAGACTTTGCACTGTGGTAATGTGACTTTCCACTGTGGTAATGTGGCTGTGTACATTACTATACTTTTTTGGTAATGTATATATGACAACATTTGGTAATGTAAGTCCTATTTCAGGAATAAAAACATAGAAGTCCTATTTTGATATATTTTCAATGTTTTAGTCCTACTTTGGTCTTTCTTCCAATATTTAGGGACGGAAGGAGTATTTTAAAAACAAAACAAACAAAAAAAAGAGAATTGAGAAATCACATTCTGAATTGGGGATAAAAGCCAAAAGGACACTGTATGATTGTACTCCGTGTTTATTTTCCACTGGGAAATGTGAGTGAGTAGGTGAGTGACCTCCATGGCTCCACCTCCACCAACCTTGTTCCACTGAATGCAGGAGTTGTTGAGCTGAGTGCAGTTGAAATGGTGGTGGCTGTCACATTCCAATCATCAGCATTCCCCAACAAGATGATGATCTCTGCTCGCAATCTCCTTTACCTTCTTCTTCTTCTCCTTCTGCTTAAATCCCCAGATTCCTCTTCCGGCCAAGAATCTGGAATCATCTCCGATGACATTGTAATCGGAAGATCCGATTTCCCCGATCAATTCGTCTTCGGCGCCTCCACCTCTGCTTACCAGGTTTCTGCTCTGTTCGTCGTTTTCTTTGTCTGGGCGTTTTTCTTTCTTTCTTCATCTGGACAGGTTGTTGAAGATTTTCATGTCTTAGGTTGAAGGAGGCTATCTTGAAGATGGTAAAGGGATTAACAATTGGGATGCCTTTTTCATTTCTAGAGGTAAATTTATGGTAGAACTTAGGGTTTTGTTGTGATCACTCAAATCTGTCTCTAAATTCTCCAATGTGTGGTACTTAAATAGTACTCCGTAATTTCTTTCAATTTCTCCATCAATCGTCTCTCTCGTTTAAATGTAGAGTATCAAGTTTGTAATTTTTCTTCTCAAATCAACTGAATGCTCAAGTTTAAAGCCAATGTATGATCTGATGAGTAGTAGTATAACACGTCCATCACGTGCTGATATTTGTTCGTTCTAGCCTTGAAGCGAACATTAATTTACTTTTAATGTAGTAGTGAGTTTTGAACTTGTGACGTCTAATCAATGAAAAGTTATTAAGAGATTAAGAAAGCTGTTATGCTTATGTTCATTGTCAGAACCATGCTCACCAGCTATCAGTGTGTTCACTCTTCACTGAATGAGCTAAGTAGATCTTAATATAAAGAGCCTCGAACGGGGTATATTATGACATTTTTAAACTAATGTTCAAACAGGGAGAACGCAAGATCGGACAAATGGAGATGTGGCAGATGATCACTACCATCGTTACCCCGTACTGTTACTTCCTTTAGTTCCTTATTCTTTTTTTCTTCTGATTAAGGCATTGTTTGGTACAGAAGGAATGATTCTCCAAGATTTTCTTGTTTTCCTGACTTTGGTAGGCAAAATAGGAAAATAATTTACCCTTTTTTTTGGTGGAAATGAAAATGAATTTCCTCCGTACCAAACACTGCTTCGCTGTGTATGATTTGAAATTTTCTTGCATATTTTTTGACATTATAGTCTCATGAACAATTAGTTTCAAATATGAGATGTTTTTCATCCTCTATCGATCCATGCATTTGAAACACAAATGTGCTTATAATGTTACTCTCAGTTCAAGAAAATAAATTGAGAAAACATAGTTAGGCATCAAGATATAAGTGTTCTTAATAACTTAATCCAAATTTGTTTTATTTCAAAATCAGACATCGCCTTCGAGCTCTGCTCAGACTAGAGGGCTCACACGGGCCATGCTGGCTGCACTGCAACACGTGCAGCATCAATACACTGCCTTGCCACACCAGAGCCACCAGGGTCACTTGGTTGGCTTCCAGCCTCTTGTGCCCTCTTTTTCACTGTCTCACATAGTTTACCTTCCTCCATGTGGTACGTTCCCTAGTCCATGGTCTGCACCTCTTTTTGGACAGCCCTCTGTGGTTACCTTCATGCTCTACCCAATTCAGACTACACTAGTCCCACTTTACCCAATTCAGACTAGTGTAGTCTGAATTGGGTAAAGTGGGACTAGTGTAGTCTGAATTGGGTAGGGCATGAAGGTAACCACAGAGGACTGTCCAAAAAGAGGCGCAGACCATGGACTAGGGAACGTACTGCATGGAGGAAGGTAAACTATGTGAGGCAGTGAAAAAGAGGGCACAAGAGGCTGGAAGCCAACCAAGTGACCTTGGTGGCTCTGGTGTGGCAAGACAGTGTATTGATGCTGCACGTGTTGCAGTGCAGCCTGCATGGCCCGTGTGAGCCCTCCGGTCTGAGCAGAGCTCGAAGGCTGTGCCTGATTTTAAAATAAAACAAATTTGGATTAAGTTATTAAGAATACTTATATCTTGATACCTAAGTACCTAACTAAGTTTTCTCAATTTATTTTCTTGAACTGAGAGTAACATTATAAGTACATTTGTGTTTCAAATGCATGGATCGATAGAGAATGAAAATTTGATATACTTTAATAATTAGTTTCGCTGTGGAGGGATACATTTTGTACTATTGCTTGCAGGAAGACATTGACTTGATGCACTCTCTAGGGTTGGATGCATATAGATTTTCCATCTCATGGGCCAGAATCTTACCCAGTTTGTTTTTTTGAACTTCCATCTCCCATTCATTCTTACTACTCCATATTTTTTTAGGAAAAATTCTTATCCACCAATGACTGTACATTTTGATTTGTCTCAGAGGGGAGATTTGGTGGCATAAACCAAGCTGGTATTGACTTTTACAACAAACTCATAAATTATCTCCTCTCAAAAGGTAATGTATGGAATTTTCGTTTCTCTTTGCTTTACACGACGGTATTATCTTGGAAAACCTAAGATAATTGCTGGTGTGAGTTGCAGGGATAAAACCTTTTGTAACTATACATCACCATGACTATCCCCAGGAACTCGAGGATAGATACGGAGGTTGGATGAGTTCCGAGATGCAGTATGGTTTTCTCCCTTTGTTTTTTGTTGGTTTATTGAGTTACATAGGCTCAAACGAGCAAATTGAACCTAAGAATTAAGCAAAAACACTTCAAGATTAGTATATCCCAACAACACATGAACTAATAGTCTAATACACTACATTTCTTTTGACACTGGACCCACTGTGCACTGTAGGCCCCTCGAATGGTGCAGTGTCATATGTTGACACCAAGGCTCGATGTCAAAAAAGAACTGCGCCAGAACTAATAATTGCATAAGGCTTACCTTTTCTGATGAAATTTTCAATGACAATAAGTTTGACACCATTTGTGTTTCTATAGGGAAGACTTTGTGTACTTTGCTCAAATATGCTTTGCGAGTTTCGGAGATAGAGTGAAGTATTGGGTAACTATCAATGAGCCAAACTTGTTTGCAGTGAGGGCATACGAGTGGGGACAATACCCACCTGCTCATTGTTCACCCCCCTACGGAAACTGCTCTTTGGGCAATTCAGATGTTGAGCCTCTTATTGCCATGCACAACATGTTGTTGGCGCACGGCAAGGCCGTGAAGGTGTACCGTGAGCAGTTTCAGGCAAGTGTCCAACCCATCATTGATTATCCTTATTTGAGATTTGCTTCATTGTTTAATACAGCCAAAATGATATAAATGTAGACTAAACAAGGTGGATTAATTGGAATGAGTGAAGTCATGTTCATGTACGAACCTTTTTCTAATGATGATGCACGTGATCAAGAAGCTGCAAGAAGGGCACTAGGGTTTAATGCGGCTTGGTATGTCTTGCTATAATCTTAGCTATGGCAAATTGCATTTCATGGTCTCACAAATTCTTGATTGTAAATGTCTCTTATAGAGAAAACACTTTTATGTGGTTGATGGAACACAGGACGTTTGATCCAGCAGTATTTGGTGATTATCCCCCGGAAATGCGTTTCTATCATGGGAGTGAGTTACCAAAATTCACCTCAGACGAAAAAGCCCTTTTAAAAGACAGCGTCGACTTCATTGGCATAAACCATTATGGCACCTTGTATGCAAAAGATTGCCTTTATTCAAGGTGCAATTGCACTGGGTCTACCTGCTCAAAAGGCGGAAACCGAACGATAGAAGGTTTCTTGTATACTACTGGAGAGAAAGATGGCGTCTTTATTGGGGACCAGGTATGAAGAATTGTGTTTTTTATGTTTTCTTTAATTAAGGGGAAGATTTATTTAGGAACCAACTCAACCAGAAGCATCCTCTTTCTACCCCATTTATGGGGCTTTTGTTTATTGTTGTTGCTGTTGGGTTAGTTGAGACCAATTCCAATTATCTTTCCCTCACCACAACTAAAATTTTTAATTCCTTTTTATGTATCGTAACAGATGGCCGTCGGTCGATTTTTTGTTGTTCCTAGAGGAATGGAAAAGATCGTTAATTACGTTAAGAAGAGGTATCACAATAAGCCAATGTTCATACTTGAAAATGGTGAGTACATTCTTAACAATGCATATTGCTTCTTTTACCACAATTCTCTTCATTAAACTGTCATGCATTGTTAGAGTAAAAAACTTTTCCTCTGGCCTGTGTTTCGTTCCTTAACATAAACGACTTGTTTTTTCTTTCTTTGTGTATTGTAGGATACGCGCCACCAAACAAGACAGCATCAGCTCTCAGTATCGTGCACGACTCTAAGAGAATAGAGTATCATAAAGCTTACCTTTCCTTTTTGGCCCGAGCAATAAGGTATATATACGTGCGTATCATTTTTTAAAATAAAGTTCACAAAAATAAGATAGTAAATTACTAAATTACTAAATGCAACAAAATAAATAAGTGCTGTGTAACTTGGGAATAGGTACTCTCATGTCTTTGAATGAACTTTACAACTTTCCTTTTTTGAGCATCTGAAAATGAAGTTAACCCTTTTCCATTTACTCTTTTTAAGAAACTAATACGGTACGTGGTCTCCATTAATGGCAGGAATGGGGCAGACGTAAGAGGATATTTCATCTGGAGCTTGATGGATGCCTTTGAATGGCAAGATTATGCAACCAGGTTCGGGCTGTACTATGTTGAACCGGGCACATTGCGCAGGGTCCCAAAGCTCTCTGTCTCATGGTACACAGATTTCCTGACCAAGGCTGTTGCTCCTCGCGACACGACAGAGCAAAAATCGTCTGCATTTTGAACAGAGTGAGAACTGAAAAATCATTTGATAATTTGGACTGGCAGTTTTTGTTGTGATTGGGTCTTTTTTTTAGGGGAAATAAATTGTATGCTTAAGGGGATGAGTGTGTTACCAGTTGGCACATTCTTCCATTAACATCAAATGCCAATTAAATAGTGCATCATGACCAGATTGGTTTGCATTTATTTAAACTATTTTGTCCTTTTATTGTAATTGATCAACCAACTAGTCTTGATTGATCAAGCTCCATGTGTGACATGACTGAGTTTTGATTGTGAAGTGTAAAGGTAGTATGATTGGTTCCACTTTGGTTGTAGAAACGGTCAGATAGTCACATGAGAGAGAGTGAATTGAATTTTAATCATGTAATCTCTACCTTTCACACTTAAAAAATCACTTGGGTTTGTGGACTTGTCATTTGATTATTTTTCAGAAAAACTTTGTGGATCCATAACTTAAATAATGAGCTATTTATCTCACAAAAGCAAAATAAAAAACTTACACTTTTTTTTTAAAAAAAGATCTCATTTTTTATCCATGAAACCATGTTTGTGAAAAGATGATAACTGCCTTTTTCTAATTTGGACCATTGGGGAGGGGGCAATGACCAAATTTTTAGCTTGTTGTATCAAACTTTTAGCGCAAAATGTTTGACGTCCAGATGACGTTGGAGGGGGCGGTGTTTAACGTCTCCACGCGTTAAAAGCTACCTTAACGCCGGTGGGCGTTAGGGACATTTTCATATCTCTAAGTGTCACTTTAGACAAATACATAAATTGAAAGCTAAAACATTTCATGTCTTTATTTCTCCACAATAGTGTTCTATATGCAAAATATTTGTGGTGAAATTAGAAGTTGACATGCCAGCAATAGCAAAACAGTGGTCACTTAAAGTAGAAGCCAAACTCATACACATATCACACACCTGATGGTCTCGAGGATTAAAAACGTGCATATAAAGGTTAGTGACTCTTGGTGAGAGCCAGTGGGGGCCTCAACCTCGTGTATAGAGATCTTTAGAGTTTTGATCCTGGCGAGAGCTTGAATTCTACGACTCTCATAGGATTGATGCGAACATAGCCAAGTAGGCAAGTGAAGTGAAGAATTTGCAAGATTTGAACGACTGGACAAATAGATGATTAATTGTACTGTTGAATAATGATATTTGTTGATTCATCGAATATTGTGTGATTATATGTTAATGCATTCTAGTCTACGAATTAGTTTTAGCGTAAGATAATTACTCACTCAATTTTTAGCTGAGCGTGTAGTCTTTGTTGTCTTTAACTACACGTATGTAAGAATCAAAGATTGGATGAGCAATTCGGTGGTCAGTGATGCCCTGTGAAGTGGATGATCCAAAGCTGTTCTTGAAAGACTTACGACTCTTATTTTATTGTTTATATACATGTTTTTTTTACTCTTATGAGAGAGATTTTTTTATTTTTTAAATACTCCCTTCGTCCTAAAACTTTCTTCCCAGAGCACTATTCAAACTTCACGGGAATTTATATCTATTTGTGTTTTTTCATGGCCTATATGATAAAATAAAATATTCTTGTCACCACTTGTTTTGTTGAACTTTTGATGTAGTTTTTAAATATGTATGTTTTATTTTTTATTTCTTTACCAATATTTAAATAAAATAGATTGAAAAAACTTGGAATTTTTCTTCGTTTTGCGAACTGGGAAGAAAGTTTTAGGACGGAGGGAGTACTCAATAAAGTAAAAAGTTTAATCCCTGTCTCCAAAAAAACTCTTTATTTTATTTTGGGTACTTTCCAAAAAAGGTATTCTTTTTTCTTTTTTGGAAAATCTTAATTGGTCCACAATTTTTCTTTTCCTCTGTATTTGTTTCAAGCACCTATTTTCATTTTCTCTAAACTTTCACATATATTCCGGGAAAAGTGTTAATTTTATGAGTTTCACTCTTTAATGGGGAGTATGTAATGCATGGAAAAAGCGAGTAATTAGTGTTGGAAAAGACGAAAAATAAGGGTTTAAAGCACCGACACCATGCTAGCGTAATTCTGTTTTTTTAGAGCGAGCTTGAGGAATTACAGATCTGCAATTCCAGATCTGCAATTCATACTCCCAGTGCCGTGTGAACTGAAGCTTCGCTTCTTCTCTCCACTCTACCATGGCTTCCAAGCTGTTAATTATCACCGTCTTTATCCTCGATCTCGTTGCTTTCGGTCTGGCCATTGCAGCCGAGCGGAGGAGAAGCACGGTAAGCGCCTCTGAATCCTGAAATTTCACTGTTCCTGAACGGTGAAATTAATGTGATTCGAGCATTTTTTGTTCTGTGTTCATATTGATTCGATTTCGTTTGATCTCTGTGCTCTCTGATTCGGATTCGAACGCGTGTGTGGATTTAATTTGTGTTTTTCGAATTCTTCTTCTTCGTTGATTATGTGAGGGGTTTACAGGCGCGGATTGAGACGAATAAAGTAGAGAATTATGATTACTGCGTCTATGAATCTGACATATCCACTGGCTATGGCGTCGGCGCCTTCTTGTTGCTCTTGGCTTGTCAAGCTCTTGTAATGGTGGCCAGCCGCTGCTTCTGCTGTGGGAAGGCTCTCCGTCCAGGCGGCTCGCGGTCTTGCGCTCTTCTCCTCTTCTTCTTGTGCTGGTATGCTTCAAATTTCCCCTTTCTGTAACTGTTGGAATTGTTGTTTTTGGTTTGTGATAGTCTACTAGTCTAGGCATGAACTTGTAGAAATTGTGAATCTGATGCTTGTTATTGTTCAGAAAACAAAAAACGATTAGAAATGGAACAAGAAGCTCTCCGATTTTCCCATGAACGCCTATTGGGCTATAGGCCTGGTTCCAATTTTGAAGTGGAACCTGGTCCACCTCTATGTGATCCATCAGTGGTGGAAGTGGCTGCAGGTGGTGGGAGATCACCCCCCAATGTTTGGGTTGAGATAGGCCCAATACTACCCAACAACGGGGTGGGGGGGTGGGGGGTATATGATCATAAGTAATCGATAAGTCACGAATGCACCTTTATAATTTTTGTTGTCTGAGTTATGCCACATCCACTAAGCGAGAGGATGACGGTGAATATAAAATAAAAACGTGTGAGAGAGCTCCACTTTTCAGCTAGCTTTGTTTGGCATTAGCTACAATGCTTAGCTTTGACGTTCTGGAAATGTTATCCAATGGTATCTTTTTGTGTTAGCATTTTCAAATGTAATTAGCACTATCAAATTCGGAATATTATTTATAAAATGTTAACAATAATCACATTGTTCCAACACGTAGCCTTAGTAGATCTATCAGCGTTTAGTTTAACATGTTCAAAATGTTATCCAAAGGTGAATTTAGTGCAAATATTATGGAGTATTCAAAAAACTAGCGCTAAACACATACAATGCTCCCAAGTGTAGCCTCAAAACTTTAGCATTTCCAAAGTTAAATTGCACCATTAAATATTACGGAGTATTCAAGATGCTAATGCTAATCACATATGTAGTTCCGGAACATAGCCTTAGTAGATCAAGGAACTTTATATACACAGTATTGAATTTAAGAACTTGGATTTCAGGGTGTCGTTCTTCATTGCGGAGGTGCTCTTGCTGGCTGGCTCAGTGAGGAATGCTTATCACACCAAGTACAGATCATTCCGAGGAACGACACTCTCCTGCGAGACGGTGCGAAAGGGCATTTTCGCTGCCGGAGCCGCCTTCATCTTCCTCACGGGAATGCTCTCAGAGTTTTACTACACTAACTATTCCAAGGCTAAAGGCGGCGCCGGGGCCGGACCACACTCTGTAGAAACTGGCGGCGCCGCCGGCTACAGATAATCACGCCACCTTAAGAGCCATATTTTCTCAGTCATTTTGGGTAGATGGACAGTGTCAAAACTTTGTTGAAGAAGCGATTTGGGGTGTGTAATAGTGTCACATGTATCTCTCATTCTATCTCTTTGTTACAGCATTTGTGTGCAGTGTTAATGGCTCTTTTGATGCACGGTAAACTTTCACTGTATTTAATTATTTATGAGATGACATATTATGGTTGGGGTCGTTAAAGGATCTGCTTGTGTTGTCCCCCCCCCCCCACCCCCCCACCCACTCTCTCACATCACGAAAGTTTCTTCGATTTTCTTTTTAGTGGAATTAGACTCCGTACCTTTGTTCAACAAAAAAAATACTCCACTCCGTATGTGTTTGGTCATTCATGGAATTTATTAAAAATTGCGAAAAGTGGAAAAATGTCATTGGAATTTGTTAAAGAAAGAGACATATTTTGAGTGATTTTTGGAAAGTGGATAAAGAGTAGTATTCATGGAATTTATTAAAAATTGCGAAAAGTGGAAAAATGTCATTGGAATTTGTTAAAGAAAGAGACATATTTTGAGTGATTTTTGGAAAGTGGATAAAGAGTAGTATTCATTTTTTTTAATGTTTCTTTATCATTTTGTCATTTCATGTAATCATAGTAAATTTTGAGATGGAAGGAGTAATGAAGTGTGATCCCCTTCCCCCACCACCACACTCTGGGTTTGTTAAATATATGAAGTAGGATATAAAAGGTTCTTAAGTTTAATTTTTTTCAAAATCAGAGGTAATCATTATGTCGTTGAGTTAGATGTCATCATTGGTGAACATCCACAAAGGAGAGAGCTCATCATGGAATTTGTGATCATTAACACTGGTTGTGCTTATAACACTGTTGTGGGGTATGCTCGAGTTGAAGAGTATGCGGATAATTATATCCTTAAAACACTTTTGTATGATGTTTTTGTCTTTGAAAGGTGTTTGAAGGGTCCTAGGAGAAGAAGAGATAACCATACCTCAAAGACTATTATGATGTATGCAGAATACGCCATATAAGAAGAGGTTCAAGAGATGAAGAAATTCAAAGACTAGAACCTTCTCAGATCCAGAAGAACTTCCTCTATATGGGGGCAGGACAAGCAAAATCTTTTGATGTCTAATCAAGCAAAATCTTTTGATGTCTTTAGAGAATGCTATAAATTTTTTCCTAGAACCTTAATATAGACCAAAAACATTGCTGGACAAAATAGAAGAAGTAGAGTCATAGATAGAGAATGACATTCAGCTAATTTTATTGACTCACACTATAATTTTTTAGAAACTTATGAGTGATACACCTAAAAGTTATCCAAACATGCCGGTAGGCGTTACACAGTTGACAAAGGCAAAAATTGTTAGGGGGTAAATTTGAATTCTATTCTTGACACTATGTCGGGAGGCAATTATGTTAAGTATAGAGCATCTGCGAATAACATGTGCAAATAACATTTCTTTTTACCAATTCATGATCAAAGTTCAATTTATTTTTTCTAAATGATCGTCGAAGTGGTTATGAGAAGATCTTCTGATGTAGCACATCCTTGACCTTAATAATTAGTCAAGCACTACTCAAGTCCTAA